ATTATATTACATATAATATATTCATTATACAATATAAATATAGATACATCTATTATAAAAAATGCACACACATATATTTTTTTCTCTGCTTGGGCCCATGGGGGTTCTAGATATTTTTGGTATTTCTTCCTAAATCTTGGGCAGTGCTTTACAGTTCACAGAAGAAAAGCAAGCAAAACATGTTTACACTAAAAATAACTGTCACTCATCTGATGGGGAGAATGAGATGCTAACCATGCACCCTGAAGGAAGAAGCTTCATTTGGAAACTTCTCATATGCTGTTGGGTTTCCTGCAGTTTATCAGTTATTGACAGAAGCGTAAGGTTCTTTGGTTAAACTTCTGTCTCGGTAATCTTCGATCACTTGCAGAAAGGGTACTCTGACAAAATATGCTTTTCCAATTGACATTTTAATTCTCTTGATTTTGGCCACTAAAATGTATGAGGGGGCATGGATGGCAAGGTTATTCAGAGCCATTTCCTAACTCTAGTGCAGCAAATAAATCAGAAAACAAAGATAGTCACACACCCATATGTCAGATATAACCAGTAGGTGAGCTTTTTTGCAAGTTGCTCCCCACTCCTCCTGACTTATCTACAATGTACATTTTTCTCTTCCAGGGACACAATTTTTTCCTTTTTTTTTTTTTTTAATTTAAAGACAGAGTCTTGCTCTGTCACCCAGGCTGGAGTACAGTGGCACAATCATGGCACACTGCAGCCTCTCAAACTCCCGGGTTCAAGTGATTCTCCTGCCTCAGCCTCCTGAGTAGCTGGGAGTACAGGCGCATGCCAACGTGCCTAGCTAACATTTTGTAGTTTTTTTTGTACACACAGGGTTCACCAGGTTGCCCAGGCTGGTCTTGAACTCCTGGGCTCAAGCGATCCTGCCTCCTCAGCCTCCCAAAGTGCTGGGATTACAGGCGTGAGCCACTACACCCAGCCAGCCCCTTTTCCTGTATCAGACATGTACTCTGGCTCAGTGAAAGTGAGTACTACACTGTATTGCAGATGATTTGATCCTTGTTTATCTTTCTCCCTACCTAATCTTTGTTAGCACAGTGAAGGAGAGGCCCCCACCTGGTGCATCGACCTGCTCTGCTCTTCAATAGGGCTGTCCCTGCAGCCAGGCACAGTTGTAACAGATGCTTCTCAAGAGCTTAGGGCCTCCTCGCTTAGCCCACTTCATTTTGGGTTGCGGAGACATTTGATTTTGATAGCAATGGCTTCAAACTCAGTTCTCAGAGGCTTCTGAGTAGCTGTTGTGGAAAGGGAAGGAAAAGCCAGGACACTCCCTCAACCTACAACCAGAGCAGTTCTGCTCTTTTTTTTCTCCTCTTCTTCTTTTTAATACACCAGCGTTCCTTGTACAACTTCGTTTGAAAAGAGGGTTCCGTTGGCCAGGCGCGGTGGCTCACGCCTGTCATCCCAGCACTTTGGGAGGCCGAGGCGGGTGGATCACTTGAGGCCGGGAGTTTGAGACCAGTCTGGCCAACATGGCAAAACCCTGTCTTTTTTATTAAAAATACAAAAAATTAGCCAGGTGTGCTGGCATGTGCCTGTAGTCTCAGCTACTTGGGAGGGTGAAACACCAGAATCTTTTGAACCCCGGAGGCAGAGGCTGCAGTGAGCTGAGATCGCATCACTGCACTCCAGCCTGGGGGACAGAGTGAAACTCCATCTCAAAACAAAAAAGAGGGTTCTGTTGTTAAAAACATGTTTGCAGCTCCCTTAAGTGAACTGCGGAATACAGCTTTGAAATCTAGTTTGAAAAATGACAGAAAGTTCATGCTTGTGTGGGTTTTTTCCTTTTCAGGTCAGTCACAAAAATGTTCAATTTACCAGGACATGATAAAAAGAAAAGACTACATCTTTCATCATAAAAGGTAATTAATATTTTTCCATTTTAGCTATCACAACCCTTATATGCATTATGCTATACTTAAAAAATGAGAGCCAATTTATCTTTTCTACACTGGAATTTCCTCAATCCTTGGCTTGTGTTGACAAGAAAAAGTGGTACTTGTTTCATCTTTCCAGGTGAAGCTTTATAGTTTGTTCAAAACAAAAATAAAACCAAAAGCTTACAGCCATCCTAATTTCAACAAAGGAGTCTTCCGAGAAGCCGCTGGAGTTCAGTTTGAGCTGCAGTTCAGACACAATGCCCAACAGGTCTGCCTTCTCTGCTTGTAGCCTCGCCACCTGGGTCCTGAGCTGGTCCTTTTCCTGCTCCGCTTCTGCCCTGGGAAGCCTGGAGTCATCAGTGGGGTCCTGGAGATGACAAGGAGTAAAGTGAATGAACAGATCAAACTAAGGCCCAGCACCATGGGCTCATGCCTGTAATCCCAGAGTTTTGGGAGGCCGAGGCTGAAGTTTTGGGAGGATCCCTTGAGGCCAGGAGTTTGAGACCAGCCTGGGCAACATAGCAAGACCTCTATCTTTACAAAAAATTTAATAATTAGCCAGGTGTGATGGCACACACCTGTAGTCCCCATTACTTTGGAGGCTAAGGCAGGGAGACTGCCTGAGCCCAGGAGTTCAAGACTGCCAAGACCCTGTCTCAAAAAAAAAAAAAAAAAAAAAAAAACAAAAAAAAAAAAAAAAAAAAAAAAAAGCCAAAAAACAAATACAAATCAAACTAAGGACCTGGCCATGCGACTCAATTGCCCCCACACCTACTGACAAGGAAGTTTCTCAACACCTTTATGCCCTATGCTTTAATGTAGAAAATTCCAGCTTTTACCTGACAATTTTTTTTTTCCCCCAGACAGAGTCTTGCTCTGTCGCCCAGGTTGGAATGCAATGGCGCGATCTCAGCTCACTGCATCCTCCGCCTCTCAGGTTCAAGCAATTCTCCTACCTCAGCCTCCTAAGTAGCTGGGACTACAGGCGTGCGCCACCATGCCCGGCTAATTTTTGTATTTTTAGTAGAGACGGGGTTTCACCATGTTGGCCAGGCTGGTCTCGAACTCCTGACCTCAGGTGATCCACCCACCTTAGCCTCCCACAGTGCTGGGATTACAGGTGTGAGCCACTGCACCTAGCCGACACTTTATTTTGATAGAACATTTAAAGTGGAAATTTTTACATTATTTTATTGTATTCAAATATATCAAAATTTAAAGTAACTTTACGACAAGAAAGAAAGCCTTCCTTGCCATGCTGGAATAATCTGATACTATAGAAATAATCGACCACAGTTTGGCAATAGTGGACTCATAAACTGTTGTCTAAAATTCCAGAAAGGAAGGAAAAAGAGCTCTCACCACCCAACCTCCTGCCCTTTTCCTCCCATCAATACCCACACACGCCCCTTCTCCCCACACCTGGCATGGACAGCAGAGGCCTCCTTAACAAACCACAGCCCGTGGGGACTTCAAACGTATTCTGGGTTGTGTCGTGACTAATGTCTCTGACATCCACTCCCAGGTATGAGCACGTTTTTCCAGGTCCTTTGGGTCAAGAAAAATGTGTCTCTTTCTCTTTTCATCTGTGGCAACGCGATAGCCTCTTACCACAACAGGACATTTTCCAAAACATTTTTAAAAAGGAAAATGTAAAGTGGATAATCTCCATTTTAGACTGACAGACAAGGTCAACAAGTAAAAAATCTGAGTAATGAGTTTTTTAAACACATTTTTAATATCAAAGACAGAAACTAAAAACAATGGATGGTTCTATGTAGAGGCCCATCTGAACCATCTATAATGAATACAGTACGCTGATTTATAACCTTCCTGTTCTTTTGCCTACAGTCAATATGGTCAAAGCTTTACAACTTTCTTTCCCCTAAAAGAGATTATCCATGACCCTTAATAAGGCAACCAATCTTTTGAGCAAAAGCACTTCTTCCAAGACCAGGCAAAACACCAATCCAGACTGAACCATGACAGGTTTTGATCTAGGGGTCTAGACACATAAGATTCTACTGCAAATGTTATGGGAAAAAAAAAAAATCACAATGGATCAGTCTGCTCACCTCAGATGACCTTTCCGATTTCCCTTTCAGTTTTCCAAGCTCTTCCTTCAATCTCTCATTCTCGTGACTCAAGGCCATGAGACGCTCTTTGGCTTCTTTGCTCTGTGTCTCAAAAAACTGGCGTTCTTCCTTCTGTTTCTCTGTCCAGGCCGAAAGCTCCTCAAATCGCCCTTTCATGGCTTGATTATTTAGCTTCATGGCTTCTGCAGGAGGTTCAGAGTGATGGGGTCACACATTAGGAAAGTGGACTTGATTTGATGAACCAAATCTCCCTCTAGTCCACTTGACCACATGGCTCTGAATCGGAAGATGCCATGGTTAGCCTCGGCCCAAGGGTCAGCAGCAAAAAGATGAAGTGGTTTTTGCTTACAGAAAAGACTAGTGGGATGAACATCATTTCTAGTCCTTAAAAGTCCCAGGAGAATAAAGTTGATTTGGGTACTGCCACTACAGCACAAGTATCTAAATATCTATGGTTACCAGGAACTAAGGAAGTTCTTACTACTCCTAGGTTCAAACACTGGTCCTGCCCAAAGCCATGGCCTGAGATACCAGGAGGCTTTCTCTTAATAAGGTAATATTTAGGACTAACTCTGGAACCATAGCAGCCCTTCTTCCTTTTTCCCTTTTTTTTTTTGAGTCAGGGTCTCTCTCTGTCATTCAGGCTGAAGTACAGTGGCACGATCACGGCTCACTGCAGCTCCAACTTCCCGGGCTCAAGCAGTCCTCCAACCTCAGCCTCCCCAGTAGCTAGGACCAGAGGCATGCACCACCACGCCCAGCTTTTTTTTTTTTAAATTATTTTGTAGGGATGAGGTCTTGCCATCTTGCCCAGGTTGGTCTTGAACTCCTGGACTCAAGCAATCCTTCCGCCACAGCCTCCCAAAGTGCTGGAATTACAGGCATGAGCCACCACACCCAGCCTCTTTTTCCTTTTGAATGGGTTAAATTTCATTATGCTAGTTCCTTGAGATACACACAATTTTTATTTTTACCTGTATCCAAAAGTAAATATCAGAACAGATTTAGCCTTGCCAAAAGCTAAATCCTGTGCTTCCCCACCCGCTACCACCTACGGAAACGGGGAGAAGGGAGCTCACCACCAAGCCTTAGTGCAAAGGGATGGCATTTCTTGAAGGCCCGGGATGAACGGGGCATGCATGAGCCAGCCCTGCTTACCTTTCAGCTGGTGGTTCTCGGTCAGGAGCTCTTTCATCTGCTGCAGCAGCTCCTCCGGGGTGAACGTGTCCAGGTTTGGGTGGGCCAGATGGGGGGGTCCATTTCCTGTGCTTTCACTGGCGCTGCCCCCATTTTCAGTGAGGCAGCTGAGAGGTTGATGGGACATTGCAGAAGTTCCTGAGGAAAAGTCACCCGTTGAAAATAGAACTGTCCCCCGCCCCACCAGGGAACCCCGGGAGTCCCACAAACCCATTGGCGATTGCTAGTATTTACTCCCAAAGTTGCCCACTTTCTCTCCAGTTACATTTTGAACATTTTTAATTCTTCCTTTTAAACAAAAAAAAAAGTATATCTAGCTTCAGAAAAGTGTATGTGTGCGTGTGTGTGTGTGTGTGTATGGGTGTATAAAAGGGTACAATGAAGATCTGGGAAATGGGGGAGGGAGATGAGGGTATGACATCATGATGACCAGGATATATGTAGACATGGGCAAAGTATTCTGAAAAAAATTTTCCATGCAAATCTTCAAATTCAAATCTCCTTATTTTGAGTGAATTGCACGGTAAGCGAATTGTGTCTCAAAAAACTGTTTTTAAAACTACATTTTGTTTCTTGTATTTTTGGTTAAGAAGAAAGGGAGAATTAACATTCTTTGAATGCTTACTATGTGCGGACTCGGCACACCAGGCCTGTCACTGACTAATCTTCAGTAACGCTGAACCAGGCAGCTGTTTATAGGTGAGGAAGCTGGGTTTACAGAGGCGTACAGCTCATCCAAGACCAGGAAGTGGCACCACCAGGTGTCAAAGCCACACCTTGTAAAACAACAAAGTTATTATACTACTGAGTAGTTAGGCCTTCATATTCTATTTTTCAATGCATACTGAAAAGACTAAGATATCTTTACTTATTGCACGGTCTGAAATTTTTTTACACATATCACTTTGTTTTGTAGAGGGGTCCATGTGGACAGAGAAATGCAAGACAAATGAGTGAATCTCCGCTGTGCTTCTGTGTTACCTACCACCCGGGCAAACATCTTCAGCACAAATTTCCACCTTCACACTTGGTGAAAATGATGTATTTTCTTCAAGAGTTGATGGGGATAGATCATAAAGCAGTACATAGCAAAGGCAGCTCCTCGCTGCTAACACTGTATACACGTGGCCTACACACCCATTCCACAAAGATCAAGAGTGGCCAAAGTCCAGAGAGATGCCTGGAAAAGCATATTATTACTTCCAGGATGTTTACTGTTAGAAGATTGTTTCTGTTTTTTTTGAGAGAGTCTCTCTCTGTTGCCCAGGCTGGAGTGCAGTGGAGTGATCTCAGCTCACTGCAACCTCCACCTCCCAGGTTCAAGTGATTCTCCTGTCTCAGCCTCCCAAGTAGCTGGGACTACAGGGGTGAGCCACCATGCCTGGCCCATTTTTGTATTTTTAGTAGAGACGGGATTTCACCATGTTAGCCAGGGTGGTCTCAAACTCCTGACTTCAGGGGATCTGCTGGCCTCGGCCTCCAAAAGTGCTGACATTACAGGTATAAGCCACTGTGTCTGGCCGTTAGAAAATAATTTTAAACCCATCTATCCAACAAATAGGTATCAAGCAACAATGCACACTGTACAACTGTGATCAGGCAGAAAGCCACGGATGCACAAAAGGGGTGAAGAGAGAACCTGGAAGCGAGCATCCCATTTCTAACTGGGGAAAGGCATTGGTCTCTGTGAGATCCATCAGCCACTCATGACGATGGAGCCTGTGTGACCCCCGAGTTATGGAGAATCCATTACACAAGATATCAGTCCCTGGAAGATAGAGGTAAGAGAACTGCCTGTTTCTGACATGTAACTGCGTCATAATATCTATGTGTGCATTTAATAGCCATCAATTAAAATAAAACCAAATGTACCAATGTGGTGTTGCATCCTTGGCCACAGGAGGCAATACCTTGGGCTTTCTGTAGATCTTCTGGAAGCAATACCTGATAACCTCCTTTTGGTGCGAGGAACTTGTAGGTAATCAGAGACAGAGCTACCTACCATACCCTGTGACAGGGCAGCCTGTGCCACTTCTTCCTACAAGAGCTAGCACCAAGAGGGTCATTTTCATGTAGTCATGTAATGAGGGTGATGGCAATTTCATGAAGCAAAAAACACGGATAAACCATAGGATTCATTTTTGAACCTTTTATATCTATGCTGCACACACCCACATTTATTTAGAAAACAGGTATAATACAGAAGTGTTCCTTAGCTTAGCATTAGGTGACTAGAACAGACTGCTTTTCTTCTCCCCAAAATAATCTGAATAGACTATCAGTTTCTAATTTTCTGTAAAATTCATTTTTTTGGTACCAAGAATCATCTCATTAAAATGGGGTTTTACTGAGTAACAGTGTTCCTACCTATTTTGCAGAGGAATACTAAAATTCTAGGTAATAGACCTAAAAGAGAAAATCCTTGTCATATGTATCATTTACTTGCCAACATTTAATTTTTCTTAGGTGTTCAGAGATTATACTATATTTTGCAAAGGCCATGAAAATATTTAACAGATTTTTTTTAAAAAAAAGCATCTAAGTAGATTTTTAGAAATGTGTTTGGTTTCATCTTATTATATGCACAAATTTCTCCTTTATGTTTTTTTCTGAAAAGGAAAGGAAAGGAAGGGGAGGGGAGGAGAAGAGAGGGGGAGAAAAGAGACATTTCTTTGAAAATTGTTAAGATGTTTCTCCTCCATGAACTTTTTTTTGTTTTTCAGACAGAGTCTTACTTCATCGCCCAGACTGGAGAGCAGTGGTGTAATCTCAGCTCGCTGCAACCTCTGCCTTTCAGATTCAAGTGATTCTCCTGCCTCAGCCTCCCAAGTAGTTGGGATTACAGGCATGTGCCACCACACCCAGCTAATTTTGTATTTTTAGTAGAGACAGGGTTTTGCCACGTTGGCCAGACCAGACTGGTCTTGAACTCATGACCTCAGGTGATCCACCCATCTCGGCCTCCCAAAGTGCTGGAATTACAGGCTTGAGCCACTGTGCCGGCCCCTCCATGACCTTTTATACCTCCACCAAGCCTACAGACACCACCATAATAAAGTTAAAACTGGTTCTAGTTGTTACATCAGTGTTTCTGACTTCTTACATTGCCCGGATTTTATAAGGATATGGGGAAAAAAGCAGGGTCGTGCTAAGGGAGGCCACAGAAAAAAGCATTTGTACCATTAGCCAGATGTGAGGCCTTAGGAAGTCATATGACCTCTAGTGATATTTATTGATTCATCCAGCAAATGGTAATCCTTATGTTGTTGCTTTCAGCTCAACAACACTACGAAAAATATTCTTTAGTTTCTAGAAAGACCACAGTCTAAACCCCACCCTTCAATGCATGTACACCAAGTATCACCGGCAGGCCTGTCACTCTCACGAATAGCTATACCTGTCCTAATGACAGCAAATTCTGTGATATCCAGTATTGTTAGAAAAAATATTTTGTAATTCAAATGTCATCAAACATAAGAAGTTAGCATATATGGTAAATATAAGCATGTAAACACTTAATATCAAAATTTTACTAAAAGTAATTTAATTGATGCCGGGTGCAGTGGCTTATGCCCAGGACTTTGGGAAGCCACGGTGGGCAGATCACTTGAGGCCAGGAGTTTGAGATTAGCCCGGCCAATATGGTGAAACCCCATCTCTACTAAAAATACAAAAATTAGCGGCAAAGCTCACGCATCGGCATGGTTAATGCCAGCAGCCACTGCACCTCCTTCTGGCTGACTCGCCTCCCGGCCCTGCGGTCAGGCCTCTGGTCACCCCGCACTCTCCCTCCTTCGTTTCTTGAAGATCTCGAATGTCACCTTTTGTTGAACATCTCGAATAGCATCATGTTCTAGACAGATGGCTAGAGCGGACTTATGGACAAGAAGTTATCACTGAAATTAAATGGTAGCAGACATGTCCAAGGAATATTGTGGGGATTTGATCCCTTTATGAATCTTGCGATAGATGAATGTATGGAGATAGTGACCAGTGGGCAACAGAACAATATTGGAATGGTGGTAATATGAGGAAATAGTATCATCATGTCAGAAGCCCTGGAATGGGTATAAAAAATGGCTGTTCAGCAGAGAAACCCATGTCCTCTCTCCACAGGGCCTGTTTTACTATGATGTAAAAGTTAGGTCATGTACATTTTCATATTAGACTTTTTGTTAAATAAACTTTTGTAATAGTCAAAAAAAAAAAAAATAGCTGAGTGTAGTGG